CGTGGCTCCTTCACTGACCCAGGAACAATATACAAGCCTCTTCTGCAAACAGCACCTGTAACACACACACACACACACACACACACACACACACACACACATACATACACAAGCGGTGAATAATCTCTCTGACAAACGTTGCCTTTGTTTGAGGGGAAGGCAAGAAGGACAAACAGTTTCAATTTTGTTCAGGTGTTTCAAATCCTTGCAGATAATAAAAAATAATATGGCAACAATTGCTTTTGCAAAGAGTGTTTGTTCCCCGAGTGTAAAAGCGGGGAGGGGAGACATTTTCAGGAGCTGGAAGCCTCTCTGACCTCAGGCCTGTGCGCTGTTGTGACTGAGTTCCTTTTCTAATTAACTAGAAAACCAAAAAATAATTTTACGCTGGAATTTGCATCATAGTTGGAATACTAATATCCAGACCTGAGACGTTTAATTCAAGCACCTCATTGCGCTTGGTGTCTTTTTGAGTCGTTCCAGGAAATTAAATGACTTGAAATTTAAGTAAAATTCACTTTATTTGAAAAATAATTTTTTAAAAAAAGAAACCCTGAGTGTTTTAAACTTTGTTTTCACTGCCAGAATGTTGTCACCATGCTTGATAAAATGACATTTATGTTCATTTTCCCTCATATCTGTCTATATGTGTGCTGCACAGACAGACCAGTGCACTCTCTGTTCTGTATTTTCACTTAAATATGAGCCTTGAAAACAGAGCAAAATTGCAAAACTGGGACTACTTGATCATTTTTTCAATGTATTCCTGATTTAAAGTATGCTTTCCCTCAGGTGTATTTTCATCCTTTTTTAAAACTTAAAAGAAAAAAAAACATTACAGCTTATCTGATCATGGAAACTCTTATCTGCTTATTATTTTTATTCTCCTCTGCGCTGATAGTAAGAGTGGATTTTTTATTTTTATTTTCTGGAGGAAAACAAGATTTGGTTGCGAACAAAAAGTAAAATTACATCACAACCATATGGTGTCCATGCCCTGTGATTTCCTGAATTTGTCTTTTATGAGTGGCACATTGTGTGTTGCATTTACAGAGGGTTAATTCTCATGTCATCAATGTTATAAATTACGTTTTTCTCTATGAATACCTGCATTTTCCAAATGTAATTCTGCGCCAAGTGCGTGCGTAAAAACGCGCCTGTCGGACAACACAGTCCAACATGGGCATAAAAAGAAAACATCCAGAGACTTATTTTCTACTGTAGATTTGCAAAAGTCTCGACACTTTATTCTAAACTTGTTGAAAAGCCTCCTCCACCACCTCCTCCTCCTCCTCCTCTATCATGATATACAGATGTCTGAAATCACTTGGAATATGGAACCACACCTACGCACACGCACCTTGAAGGGTCGCAGCCCAAACAAACGCACCGGGCCTCATGCATTATGAATGTAAATTTACACTGGCCTCCTCTCGTGGGGTGAGCTGTAGCTGCACATACATCCACTCACGAGTGCGTCCAAATGCATTTCTTCCTCCTAAACCTTCTGCCGGACACACACACACACATTTGTGATTGACAGCCTTGCAGCTCTTCTATGCATGTAGAAAAAAAACAGCGCGTAAAAAGACGCGTCTGGATTGAAGTTGATGATGAAAACAAACTGCTTGTCACCGGAATGATGTTAGATTAGTTTCGGGGTTTGTTTCTGAAGGGCCGTCTTGTCTAAACACTGTGTCACTGTCCTTTATTAGCGACGTCACGGGTTAATGGGAATATCGATTTTACTGTCTGGGAGCTTGTGAAGTGTGTGCCGCGGGTGTCAGGGATGACAGAGCGTTAAAGTGAGAGATGACAGGAAGATTTTTTTTTTTTTTTCCTTTTTTGGATTCCTTTAAATAAAACGAAAACACACTTTAGTTATTTAAAAAAATAAATAAGCCAAGGGAACATTGTTAATCAGGAGAAAAATAAAACAAAACAAAGGCCTGTTTTCTCCTTTGAGTCAGAACAGGCTTGAATTGGGAACATTCTCTGCGTAAATGTATATAAATAAAATAAGCACTGGCCACTGTTGGCGCGCAGCAGCGGAGATTTAGGCTTCCTGCGTGGGGAAAGTTTGCAAAGGTCACGACACCAAGTGACAGGTCCCGCCCTGAGGCCCAAGGCTGTCTCAATAGCAGACTAAGCCTGATTTATCTAAAGGCTGCAGCCTGGCGCACTAAAGAGGAGAGGGGGGACATTTAGCCAAAAAATAAATCAGACAAAAATATATATATCTATATTTTAGAAACCTGTTTTCTCTCGGATGCTCTTTTACATAAACATTTTTAATCATTTTTGTGAAAAATGTGCAAAAAAAAAGGGAATTAGTGTTTAAATATTATAAAGAGAAAAATACATCAAAGTTAAAAATAATAAGAAAGAGAGACGCACCAAACCTCATTAGGACTTTATAATATTTTGACCTTAGTGATCTCATAATACACATTAAAAGTGAGGAGCAGCAGTGTTGCTGCTGTTTTTAAATGCCCATAACATTATGTTACAAATCTGCCACCATGAAGAAGCATTTTAATTTAATACTACTTTTTAAGCAACAATGCATAAATTCTGTATTACGCATACAACAAAGCGTTAGACTTTAAGTTACAGGCCCACAGCAGGATTATAATTTAAGTGAAAATGCAGAAAAATTCTATTCTGCAAAAATCACAGCAGTTTTTTTGTTTTGTTTTTCTTCGCCTCATTAATATCACCGGAGGTTATCGTTAACAAATCGTTTTTTATTTACTGCCTAAACAGCAAACAGCCTGAATCCCAACATAATCACTGCAAGATTCCCTCACAGCCGCCAAACAAACACAAACAAGCCGCTAAACAAACCGCGTTACAGCGACCACAAACTACCGTTCCACAAACACAAGGAGGAGGGGAAGTAAAAAATTAAAGAAATTATGAGTCATTAGTTGTAGTTATTTCGCAGTAATGTGCAGCTCGGTGCAGGGGCAGAGCCTGCAGTGCTGCATGGTGTAAGTGTAGCAGGGCTGGCTCGGGTTATCTGTGAATGGGCTCTTTATTGGAGGCGCGGAGCGGGGATTTGCCTTTTATTCGCCTCGCTATGGAAACGCGCTCGACGGCAGAAAAATGTTGATGTGAATAAAAGGAATCAGCACAAGGAGCGTTTCTAGAGAAGCATCTGTTACACTTAGAAACTTAGACTATCGAGAGCAATACAACCCCCTCTCCAAGTCCCTCTCCTGCGCCTCAAAAAAGCAGATTTATCTTTTGTACATACAGAAAAAAAAAATCATTTCGGTTGGATTTTTTTTTTTTTTTTTTAATCACAGCTTTGGTAGAATTTCTATTTTTTTTTGCTCACATCGACTGTTTTAGATTCAACAAATTCAGTTTTTACGATACACTTTCCTTTCAATGGAGAATTTATCCCTCTTAATCACGTCGCTTTGGCGTGTCATTTAATATGACACGTATGAAAACGCAGGAGTCCTTTTGAAGCGCCACTGCTGCCATTGTGCCACAACTTTACTATCTATATTGCGTTTTAATTCCGCACATTGATTCATCCCAGAACGACTCAAACGAAGCAATCCAGTTCATCAAACTAGGCCACTGGAACAACACTGCCATTCACATCAAATATTCAGCCACTTTCAGCCAAGTTTCAGAAAGGAGGCTCCATAAAGAATTTACGCACAAACACCACACTGGAACTGGAATAATCAACAAAACAACAAACATCTGATGAATTATTTTCCATCCATCTACTCTGCGCTATTTGAGGCTTTAGACTTTGTCCTGTCTTCGTCTCTTGCCCTCCCCCCCTCCTCTTCTGCCCCCCCTCTGTCTGTCATTCCTCCGGTTACCGAGGCCCCGTCCACCCTCCAGCGGCCCTGTCCACACTTCCAGCCCCGCGGTCAGCTCACCTGCTCCGGCCTCCTCTCCGTCTCTGTCTCCACAAGCAGCTTGTGGCTCGGCTCAGCGCTCTTTAATGACTTTCTGGTGGCTGCAGCCTTCTTTTATTTCTCCTAAATGTATGAAAATGTATGCAAATTTAAATCAAGCTTAACCTGGGAGCTCGAGCAATATATTTAATGGAATTTCAAACCAATAAGGAGACTGGGACGCAGCCTTCTAATGGCAAATATAATTACGCAGCTAAGTTAGCTCTCAGATTTGCAGATAGATCTTTTTCAACTCTGAAAGGACCCGAGGAGATTCTTAAATACTGGAAGTGTAAATGTGTTTTCTGTGTGAGCTCACGTTTGCCTTTTTTTTGAGAATATGTAACAATGATGACGTTTTAGTTCACGTCCAACGGTAGCAGCAGAAGTGTGAGTATCGCCTGACAAGATATTTATTTGTTTTTAAATGTATGTAAATACCCAGTTAAATACTAAATTGCAATAATAATAGGCCCATGCACATGCCTTATTTTTGTCTGACCAAAATGGATAAGGATTATGGATGCGCCGTGCGTAAAACGACTTTGCGTAAAACACCGTCCTCAAACGTGTTATTCTGAGGAAATATTCTCCAAGTTAATAATTAGCAGTGAGAACTGCTCTTAGTTTGATTGTATCCTTCCAAATTAAGTGCTGGCACGTCTAAGAAATGCCATTGCGCTTTAATCTCCTTCTTCGCACGCGCTCAAGGGTGACAGGAGCAGCAATAAACTCGTGCGTAAATCAGTTGGAAACTTTAATTAATAAACAGGAACTGCGCTCCACGCTCACATCATTCCACAGCCAGACCCACTGGACCAGCACTCCGACACTCTTCCGGTTCGGCTGCCTGTAACCCTTTCCTCCCCGCAGCTCTGCTTCCAGAGGCGGAGGCTCTGGGATCTGCGCCGTCATTGGTGGAGACGTGTCGTCACCGCGTCTCCGTCGGACTGTGAGTGGCGGTGGAGGCTGTCAGTCAGTGCCAGGCTGCTGCCGAGACTCCAGAGAGAGGGAGATGTCAGAGGCTGAGCTGCTCCCTCCCTTCAGTAGCATTAGTGGGGTTCAGCAGCCAGCATGGCCACAGCTGCCTCCAGCCCCTACACCCTGCTCAGCTCCAGTCCCATGATCCACCCGGACAGCCAGGCCATGCAGCCTGCTAGCCCCTACAGAGGACACCAGAAACTCCTCCAGAGTGACTACCTGCAGAGCGTCCAGAGCAACGGACACCCCCTCGGGCACCAGTGGGCGAGCAGCCTGTCGGAGGGCAGCCCCTGGTCGGCCTCCATGGAGCAGCAGGACGTGAAACCAGGCCGAGAGGACCTGCAGCTCGGCATCATCCATCACCGCTCCCCGCACGTAGCGCATCACTCCCCTCATCACAACAACCATGGCAACCACCCGGGAGCCTGGGGAACTCCGGTGTCCCACAACTCCTCCATCACCAGCGGGCAGCAGATCAACATCTACTCCCAGACGGGCTTCACTGTCAACGGCATGCTGGACCACGGTGGGCTCACACCTCCACCCAACCCGCAGGGCCAAGGCATGCACCCGGGCCTCAGGGACACACTCAGCCCCGAGCACAGCGACCTCGGCGGGCACCACTGCCACGACCACTCCGACGAGGAGACGCCGACTTCGGACGAGCTGGAGCACTTTGCCAAGCAGTTCAAACAGAGGAGAATCAAGCTGGGCTTTACGCAGGCGGACGTGGGTTTGGCTCTGGGCACGCTGTACGGTAACGTCTTTTCCCAAACTACCATCTGCAGGTTCGAGGCACTGCAGCTGAGCTTTAAAAACATGTGCAAACTAAAGCCGCTGCTGAACAAGTGGCTGGAGGAGGCAGACTCGTCCACAGGCAGCTCTAGCAGTATAGACAAGATAGCAGCTCAGGGGAGGAAGAGGAAGAAGCGGACGTCCATCGAGGTGAGCGTGAAGGGAGTTCTGGAGACGCACTTTCTCAAGTGTCCCAAACCGTCCGCGCAGGAGATCACCTCGCTGGCGGACACGCTGCAGCTGGAGAAGGAGGTGGTGCGCGTTTGGTTCTGCAACCGGCGGCAGAAGGAGAAGCGCATGACGCCGCCCGGTGAGCCTCCGCCACACGAGGGACCGTATTCTCACAGCGGGAGCGCGGGAGACGCCTCGTCGTGCCACGATCTCTGACCGAAGCACCGGGAGAAATCCCCCCCCTCCCCCTCCTTCTCCCCCCCCTTTCCCCCCTCCCCACCGCCCCCCCAATTCCTCGGCACGGACTCTCTGAGCGCAGGGACGCAGCAGCAGAAGCGGCGGCGGGGCACCTTCCAGCCTCCGCGCCCTCGTCCCGGTACAGACTCCTCCAGATGCCTCCAGCACTGAAACAATAACAGAGATACCTGTTCAGCCTTCGTCATTTTCTAACTGTCATGAGGGCATTATTCTATAGCGGCATATCAACCGTCACATTTCACCTCTGGAGCCCGACACTTTGTTTTTTCTACATCACGGATATAAATACAAAAATGTGCCTAATAACCTGCCAGCGCCTTTGGTTTGTGTCACCATTTTCCATCAGCTCTAGAATAACGATAAGATGGGACTGATGTTTTCTCTTCTTTTTTTTTTTCTTTATTTTTATTTTGGGGCTCTCCTCTCACACGCTGTGCTTCTGTTTGTACGATCAGTGGCGTGAAAACAAATATTAATAATATCACTTTTCTTAATTGATTTGTTGCAGCAGCACCAGAGGCCATTTGTTTTTCTTTTTTTTATTTACAGTCCACCTCACGCTTCCCTCGGGCTTCTTTTAGTTCTCACCATATTTACAGTCATTATTTTGTAACGTAGCAGATCTGTAATTATTATTATTATTATTATTTTTGCATATGCAAATATAGGCCCCCATTCCACGTCGTAGAGGTATCAACATAATAGCACTTGGAGGATTTTTT